GCATTCCCACCAGCTGTGTATGAGGGTTCCTGTTTCTCCACATCCTCTCCAACATTTGTTGTTTTTTGTCTTGGTGATTATAGCCATTCTAACAGGCATGAGTTCAGTGGTAGAATTCTCGCCTCCCACTTGCTTTTTTAAAGCTTGAGTATTGAACTTCAGACATGAAAGTAAAAGATTAGAGTCCCAAATTATCTGTCAAGTTCAACAGTAAAAGAAAAAACCCTTTTCTTTATGAACTGAATTTGTTGTTACCTGAAGCACTTGGATCATTTCTTTTGTTTTTTCCAGGCATTTATTTGATTCATTAACTTGTGACTAAAGTTTTGCTGTGACGTCATTAGACATCTCTAGTTCTCTCTGCATCTCTATAATCTTCTCTTTTTTGTCCTTGGCACTTTTTCTTGCTTCATGGAGTGCAGTTTCCAGCTCTTGAATTGTCTATTAAAAACACACACATATATAAGGTCTGCTGTGAAGACAGAATCACAGTATACAAGTTTAAGACAAAGATGGTCATATATGGGTATTAACTTTTCAGATTGCATTAACAAAGGACAGAAAAGAAGAGAAGCCAAATGGCACTCGATTTACATAGGTATTATTTTTTTCACTTAGAAGCAAGCTGATGATTTTTGGACAAAAAAATGCCCAAATTTTACATAAGGTTTAGTGCTTATTTTATTTACTAGTTAGCATAGTGCTAAGCATATTAAACAGGCACTGACATTTTAAATTAACACTACTTACAGAAAGTACATTTGTTAATTGACTCTTTAGAGTAATACATGTAACATATCTTTCGCTTTATTTTTATTACCTAGTTTTTACATTGAAAAATACAAGTATGTGGAAAAATTCAAAGGCATATAATGAAGAGTAAGTTCTCCCACCTCAGAACCCCCAACAACTCTGAAGCAATGACTACTAAACTCTTTCAAGTGTATCCTTGTGGAAATTTTCTATATGTATCTAAGCATATGTGAATATATAGTTTATAAAAACAGTAAGTCATACACACAATACGCGTAAGAAGAAAGTACACACACAATAGTGCATAAGTAGAAAGAAGCAAGTGCCAAAGCAGGACTGCATTTGAACATCAAGAAGACAGAAATCATGACTACAGAAGCACTACACAATTTTAATGTAGACAAGACACTGAAATTGTTAAAGATTTTGTTTACTTTCGTTCAGTCATCAATTTAAATGGAGGCTGTAGTCAAGAACCCAAGAGAAGACTGAGACTCAGAAGGGCAGCAATGAAAGAATTAGGAGGGATTGAGTGTAAGGAAGGGTCATTAGATACCAAGGCCAGGATTATCCACACCCTCGCACTCCCAATTATTATGTACAAGTGTGAAAGCTGGAGAGTGAAGAGGGCTGATGGGGAAAAAAATGGATTCATTTGAAATCGGGTGTTGGAGCAGAGCTCTATGCATGCCCTGGGCTGCCAGAAAGATGAACAAGTGGGTCCTAGAGCAAATTAAGTCTGAACTCTTGCTAGAGCCAAAAATGATAAAACTGAGGCTGCCCTACTTTGGGCACATCATGAAAAGGCAGGATTCTTTGGAAAAGGCAATAATACTGGGGAAAGTAGAAGGCAGCAGGAAAAGAGGAAGACCAAATATGAGACCGACTGACTCCATAAAGGAAGCCATAGGCATGAGCCTACAGGAGCTAAGTAGGGCTGTTGAGGACGGGACATTGTGGACATCACTCATGCATAGGGTAGCCAGGAGTAGGAGCTGACTTGACAGCACATAACAAAAACAAATATATAGTTCTGCTTTTTTTTTTTTTCCTGAGGAAGATTAGCCCTGAACTAACATCTGTGCCAACCTTCCTCTATTTTGTATGTGGGTTGCTGCCACAGCATGGCTGGTGAGTGGCGTAGGTAGGTCCGTGCCCAGGATCCAAACCGTGAACCCAGGCCACCGAACTGGAGCATGCCAAACTTAACCACTAGGCCATGGGGCCAGCCCCCTACCTTTTTTTAAATTGACAATATATTTTCCAGATCTTTTCATTATCAACACATAGATCTCTCATACTTTTGTTTTCATGGATACATACATCCTGTTTCACGGAGGTACTATAAACTAGTTAACCTGTCACCTACTAATGAACGTTTAGGTTATTTCCAGTTTTTTGTAAGTACAAAAATACATGAATTTAAATACCTGAATTTGTTCATATTTATAAGATTATTCACATACACACACATGCAGGTTTTCCTGGAAAATGTCTGTTTCTTTTTGGTCCACCCGGAATTTAGTTTTGTTTAATGAATGAAGTAAGAGTCCAGACTTATTTTTTCAAGACTGTAGCTGGTTGTTCTGATTCAAACATTAAGTAAACCATCATTTCCCCACTGAGTTGACTGCTACCACTATCATACACTAAGTTCTCATACTCATTTGAGTGTACTCCCGAACACTCTACTCTGTTCCACTCCTCTATTTCTACATCACCACCAAACTACTCTATGCTACTCTAATTTGGCTTAATTATCAAACTAATAGCATATGATTTATTATCTGATGGGGTATTTCCTGGGGTCATTGAAGATGGAATTTCCTTCTGCTTCTTTACCTTATTGCTTTAGAAGATGGGTTTCATATTTCTGCTATTTTTATCTCTACAGCTGACTGCAGTGGTCAGCAAATCAATAAACTGTATACTAGTGATCTTCTAGTTTCCACTAGTAATTAATTATTAAACTAGTGGTTAATGTTTTATCATAAATATTTATTTTGGTAAAATGGTTAAGTTATAATTTACTCTTGGGTTCTCCATTAAGACATTCTGTGTGATAACAAAATAAAACAGCATGTCTGCTTTACAGATTCCCAAGAAACGGTAGTTAATAAAGTAACTGGATTATTCAAATAATGTACTGATTCTTGGGTACAGGTTAATTTGCATAAGAATTTATTACATTTTTAGCCCCTTCCATTTTTATTTTGATCACATTAACCAATATTAAAGACACTGATGATAATTAGAGAAAAGCTAAATTGCTCTTTCCCTCTAAGCTAGTTCTGTATATAGACACAGATTATAATTTAATAGAGTGTCACATGATTTAGGAAACTTACAATATATGGTAATAACACCTTAAGCGGTGTACGTATCTGTTAATCAAATTAAGCTATGAGTTACCTCTGTTTTATAATTCAAAGCGAAGATTTTATATAACGTCTAGCTTTATAATTAGTTGAGTGACAGCCACAATAGAACTATATTTAAAAGACAAGCCCATCATGCACGTTTCTTTTTTCTTTTTTTTTGTTTTTTTGTGAGGAAGATGAGCCCTGAGCTAACATCTGATGCCAATCCTCCTCTTTTTGCTGAGGAAGATTGGCCCTGGGCTAACATCTGTGCCCATCTTCCTCTATCTTATATGGGACGCTGCCACAGCATGGTAAATAAGTGGTGCACTGGTGCACATCCGGGATCCGAACCTGAGAACCCTGGGCCGCCAAAGCAGAGCACGTGCACTTAACCGATATGCCACTGGGCCAGCCCCTCATGCACGTTTCTTAACACATTCAATACTGTGATTTTGCTCTGAAATGTTATATAAGATGCATCTTTAGCTCTGTGATGAAGCTGCAAATTGAAAAACATCTTATAAGAAATTTCATACCTCTGTGGTTAGTTGTGTAGCTTTTGATGTGACGTGAAGATTCTTAGCGTCTTGTGTAGCAGGATTAACAAGGGCACCCAGATGTCTGAGAGATCTTCAAAGTTTGATAGTTTTTAAACAGTTTTTCATTCTCCTCTTTCACTGATTTCAGGTCATGTTTCTATTCTTTGACTATGGTTGCATTTCTTCCCTCAAACTCTGTTGCTTCATTCCTTATACCCTATTGAATAGTAAAGACACCATTATAGCTTCTAAAATGAATTACACATAAAAAACAAGTATGAAAAATACTAGAATTCTAGGACAAGGCATATGCTGAAATTCATTATTCAGAACATTCTAGAAGAGTACTTTAAAAGAATGTGAATATTCTTTGTGATTTGCATCAGTTCCTGACATTTCAGATGTTGGATATTGATGATGAGAATAAAAAAGAATAAGGACTAGAGAGGATTCACATTGATTTGTAAGATGATAACTTCACTTTATTAGATCAGTATGATATATGAAGAGGAATCTGAAGAACTGTGCAGGTTAAAGTCATTACATGTGTTACAACACATATAATGTCACATATAAACATTAACTGACATCTAATAGCACAGCATACACAGTAAACTTAACAACAATCTACTTTCCTGTTTCATTTCAAACCTTAGTGTTATAGGGAAAAGAATTCACTGACTTTTGGTAATTAATCTGAAAATCCTGTATTTCTGTGCACGGAATAACAGTCAATCAATATCCTCTTTTACATCAAAAGCTAACTGACTCTGAAATTGCTCCTATCATCTTTTACTTCCTATCCCTACGGGACGTACTTTTTGCTCTCATTATGAATGCCGTCTTGGTCTTACCTATATCTTTCTTTGTGGCATTACGGCAGTTCTATCAGAGGTGGATCCTAATTAGTTGTGTTCTTGCTGGCACCCTGGACCCTCCTTGCTCTGGACTACTGACCTCCTACCACATACAGTCATCAATTCCTACTCTCAGATGCTGGAAGAAGCCACATATCCATGCTGGTCTACACAGCAGAAATCCCTACTTTCTAACCACAACTGGGCCCTCAATATTATAAGGAAAACACTGGATTATATGGAGATTATCTTATCCACACACTGGTTTTATGCTTTTCTTCACTGATTGTGGTCTATTTTTTTTTTTTTTTTTAAACAGCTCATTTACGATTTTGCTAGCTTGGGGTATTCTACAAATGGGATTAACTATCCACAGGAAAACATTTTTTTAAAATGTTACCTATATTTCAATGTGATTTAAGTATAGTTTCCAGATGAAATTAAAGTGTCAGGAAAGAACTACCCAAACATGTGAAATACAAAACCAGTCTTAGAAGTTACAATATTAATCTAGTTCCCTTTGCTCCAATTGCATATATAACAAGCAACTTTCTGGTTCCTGCCAATTTTACCAGGTGTATGAGGTAGGGATTACTTCAGAAAGCAGAATGAATCTTCTGACCAGTGGAAAGTAAAACAAATTAACAAACTGACCTCAAGCAATGTTGGTTCTTACGAATCTGTCCACTAGGACTGGTCACCTTGGGAACAATGACACAAACCACATTTTTGAACCTCAGAGTTGAAAGATCAGCTCCTATGATAGCGACAGCACCAAGGTGAGAAGCATGAGGCCTCGCTAGGTAGCGGGCCAGGCCCGTCCATGGCTTTACCACAGTTGCTGCCTGTAGCCCTGAAACAGGCTCTCGTCTCACCCTGCCTGAGGCTACTTGGCGAAAAGGCTCAATTCCTACCTAAGCGAGCAATGACAGAGGAGGAGGGCAAGAAGATTCGAGACTTCACAAGTGGAAATGGATTATTATACACCAAGATTTTGTTATCTTCGTTACAAGTAAAAGTTGATATATTTAATTATCTTAAGGAAGCGTAATGTGTTAGAGGAAGAACATGTTTTACCGAGTCAATTTTTTTCAAATAAAAAAATAGTATATACAAACAAATGAAAGAAAATATACTTAAAATTAAGTTGCTCTAAGTCTTTTTAAGAATGAGGTACAAAAATTAAAGCAAACAATAAAAAGAATCAGGTAGCACAAAAAAATTACTACTTACAGTTATTTTTTTATTATAAAAATTATTCACTTCACAAATCCTATCATTTTCTTTCTGGATGCCATTTTTAAGCTTTTCTATATCAAAATGAGTATTCAACCACTCTTCCAAAAACTGGGTCATTTCTTTCCTATTACGTAGTACTTGTTGAAATTCAGTTTTCATCCTGTGGAAGTCACTTTCTGAAAAATCTTTGAGAATTTCCTGTGTGAAAAATAAGCAGTGAATCTCATTAACATTAGGAAAGTTTTTATCTAAATATCATACAAATATCATAAAACGGGGAAAATAACCTTACTACTGAACTCTCATTCTTAATATTTTGAAGTAAATATAATTCTAATTTATTCTAATTATATTAGAAATATAATTCTAATTTAAAATTTTACTTATTTGAATCATAAAATTTTGGCAGTATAGGCTATGTGATGGAGGCACATCTACAAGTTCTGCCCATTAGCATTAAAACCTGTTCAAAACTATGAATCTGTGACTAATAATCACAGTATATGAAGTGCCTCTGGATGCAGCTTTTCTGTGCATACAGCAGGCCTTCCATGCGTCCTGGGAACTGGATGGCCCTCATACTGCTGGGTGAGAGCAGGATACTCCGTGTGGAGTTGTTACAATAAAAATGTCTCTGACTCCCAGTCACAGATCTAGGAAGCTTTAGAAGGCATTTGGAAAAATATGCTGGGCTTCCACGAATTTCCACTTGCTGATGTTAAGTTTGTGTTTCTGTGTCTGGGGAGTTCTGAGAGGAGGCTGGTCTGACTTGGCACTCTACATCTGCCCAGCTGTCCTTCTGCAACCTATTTTTTTGTGTGTATGTGAGGAAGATCAGCCCTGAGCTAACATCCGTGCTAGTCATCCTCTTTTTGCTGAGGAAGACCAGCCCTGAGCTAACATCCAAGCTAATCCTCCTCTTTTTGCTGAGGAAGATGGGCTCTGAGCTAACATCTATTGCCAATCCTCCTCCTTTTTTTTATTTCCCCAAAGCCCCGGTAGATAGTTGTATGTCATAGTTGCACATCCTTCTAGTTGCTGTATGTGGGACGTGGTCTCAGCATGGCCAGAGAAGCCGTGTGTTGGTACGCACCTGGGATCCGAACCCGGGCCGCCAGTAGCGGAGTGCGTGCACTTAACCACTATGCCACGGGGCCCGCCCCTGCAAGCTATTTTTAATATCGTAAATGAAAATGGCTCTAAGCACATGAAAAGCTACCTTTCTACTTGATAAAAAGGCTTAAAATCTAATTAAATCCATTTTAAATAAGTTATACCTCAATACGTAGATCCATTTTCTGCCTCAATTGGCAGTCCCTTAATTCTCTGGATGGTACATCATAATCTCGTTGAAGGTGCTGTATTTTAATTAGCAGTTCACTTTGCTTTTCCACTTCATCAATAAAAATCTTTTCAAATTTACTGATGGATTCATGTTGTTCTGCCTTTATCTTTGTAACATGGCTTAACACAAACTTGCAGGAAAACATTAAACAAATTGGGAAATGAAACTTTTATCACATTTAGAGGAAGTTTTAAACCCTTGAGACTAAGAGGTAGGATGGCATGTCTTGTTTATCTATATCCTCTGACTAGCGAGGAAGAAGGAAAGAGCCTCTCTCCATTCCCAACTTTCTCCTCTCAGCGTCTTGGGAGAGTAACTTCCAGACCTCTGGTTTCTTATTTCTGACTTCCTAACGGACATACCTCATGGATGTCCTACAGTTACCTCAGATTCAATACATTTAAAATGTAACATTATCCCGTTTCCTATAAATCCACCTTTTTCTATTGCCCCCTTCTGGTTAATAACATCACCAATTACCTAGTTTTCCCAGCTAGACACCTGAGATTCATTTTAACATCCTCTCCTGCCTCCCTTGATTGGGTACAATGTGGGTGTCCATGCCTCAAGATTTACCTGTCATGTGTATTTAGATGTCTGGCTTAATGGTGACAATAATTTGAATGCCCTATGTTCTATGGACCTTATGAATAAGTTCTGATATCTGATTGTCAGGATTTTTGGAAGAATATCAGAGCCTGAGGGGCAGTCTACCTACGTAGGGAAGATACCCACTCCCTACTTCCTCAACTTCCCCCATTCCTCAGCCTCTTATAATCTGGCCTCTTCCCTAACCACTCAGCTAAAACTGCTCTGACAAAGGTCACCAGTGAGCTCTATTATCAACAATTGAGGGGATGTCTTCATTCCATGTTCTGGCTGCCGGAAGCATCTGCCACTCTCGGCCACTTCATCTTTGACATACTCTGCTCCACTGACTTGAGCGCTGGCACTTTTGCTTGGTTCTCTCCTGTCTCTCTGACTTTTCCAACCTTGAACCCTTGTGTTGCTCTCTCTTCTGCTACTGTCTCTTGAGAACTGATCTTTTCCAGAGTTCTCTTTTATCTTCACTCTACTATACTTCTGGGTGGCCTCACTCACACCTGTTGTACTAACTATCACCAAATGCTGATGGATCCCACATCTTCATCTTTGGTCCTGATTTTTCTCCTGAGAAACCTCAGATTCACAACTAAATGCCTACTTGGTTTCTCTTCCTGGATGTTCCATTATAGGTATTTCTATCTCAAAACATCTCAAACTAAACACCGGATCTCTCCTCTTGTCTCACCCGCCTTGCTCCTTTTCCGTTTTTCTTTATATCAGTTAATGGCACCACTATCCACAAACCTGGCTAAGCCCAAATCCTGGGACTCGGTCTAAATTTCTTTCATCCTTTCCATCCCCATGAATCCTTCCCTGGTAGGAACATAACATCTCATCTGGACAATTGCCTCTTGTCTCTTCTCTCTGACACCGCGCTTATCATCCCTTGCAGACTCATTTCCTCTTTGTCTGTAGTGAAGTCACTAAAACAGTAATCTGATTGCATTACTGCCACCACTTAAAATAACTGTCCAATGGCTCCTCCTCATCTGCAAAATGAAGTCTAAGTTTTACTGTTTGAGCCCAGCCTCAAACAGTTCAAAACAGCCTCAAGACTTCAGAAGTCTTGTCTTCTTGAACTTGTCCTCTGGTGTGTCGTGCACCTGCACTACTTCCACCACTGCACCTCTCGCCTGTCCACATGTCTGCCTCACCCACTGGACCACGAGAGCTGGGATGTTACTCATCTTTGTCTCCCCAGCACCTGACAGTGTCGGGGCCACAGGCAGAGCTCAGGTTTGTTGAATGAGCAGGTCCTAGATGCACTGAGGATCCTGCACACACTATTCTCAGACCCACGTCATCTTTAATTCAGTAGTAAATACACTAAATAGCAAATATGCCAATCTCAAAGCAGGATCTAAATGCACTGAAGTTTGTAACTGAAATCTATAGCAATATTTACAAACATATTACTAAACAAGGTGATACCTGGAGTTTCTTCACGACTCTGTGGAACTCCATGGAGCATCTCTGGTTGGCGGTGAGAAGTTTCTGAATCTGTCGGGTTTGTGGAGCTGGAAGCGAGAGGTTTGCTTTTACTCTAACTGAAAGTTCTCTTTGGGTTTCAATTTCCCTCTCCAAGTCAAGAGAGAGTCCATTTAAGCACTCAGAATGACTCTCCGTTCTCTGAAGAGAATCTCTTCAGAAGCTCCTAAAGAAAATGAGAATTCATTCAATTTAATAATTCATCCCACTTTAACAATAAGTAGTCCTAGCCCTGGAATTGTAACAAAACTTATGCTTAACACTTTCTGTAGGGCCGACATAAATTAAGACTTTTGTGTTTAAAAAACAAAAGGAAAATGTTATTGTTGATTTTGGATTATAGAAATAATATATAATCATTGTGGAAATTTAAAAAGTTTAAACAACTATAACAAAGAAAACCAGAAACAACCATTTTTATCATTATGATACATTTTCTTTTAGTCTTTTGAACATCCATGATCTGAATGAGCACTTAGAAAGTCTGAAGAGAAATCTGCATGAATTCAATCTAGTATGTACTGTAGCTCCAGGCTGAATGCTGCTTCTGGTGACAGCAGGTGGTGTGAGTCAGCAGACACAAGTGACTAGAATCACACAAGTTACGTGTCAGCCTGGTGTAGCATCTCCACACACTTCTAGTGTCTGCCTAGAATCTGAGCTTTCTCACCTTTTATCAGAGTGAGAGCTCAGGCTCTAGCCCTGCCCGCTTCCTGACTGGGGAAATCCTCGAGCCATTCTCCCAACTACAAAATGAAGACTACGATAATTGCCACAAAGTTTTCTAGGGGATTAAGTAAAATATTAGATAATATCCATATCTGTATAATCTATGAAATATATACAGACATTATAGTTTAAAAGAAATAAAATTATATTTGTAAAAATGCTTCTATACCCAAGTTTTAAACTTAGACTTGGTTTTGATGCTGGCCCTGATATCAGTTCCCCTACATTAAACCCCTACATTTAACATGGGTTAAAACCAAAAGCACTCATCCCTTTCCCTGCTTCTCTAAGCTACATTCATATGTAAATATCAGTTTTTTTAAACCTTTGTATCCCTGAACTTCACAGGGCAAATAGAAGTTACAAACTGTTAGAGCCCAGGTGGCCTCATGCTAACATTTCGGCTAGTTAGGGGTCCTTTGAAGTTTTGTTACAGGGAAACTGACATCCAGAGAATATCAAGAAGCTGAAGCTTCCCAGACCCCAACTCCTTGGCTTCCTGGCACCAGAATCCACCCTCCACCACGGAGGCAGACAACCAAGGACACCCACCTGCGGATTCTCTTATCTCGCCATCCCCTGTCCCTGTCATCAGCCACACAAGGCCAAACGCAGGCTGGTGGGAAGGCACCAACCAGCAAGGCCACAGGCTCCCCTCATATAATCACTCACAGGGTCCGAGATGACGCAGAAAGCCGGTTTTGTGGAACCAAGACACCTGGTCCAAAGGCACTGATAAGGAACAGATAAAGATAACAACTGACTCGAGGCCAGAACGTCTGCTCGGACCCTTGCACAGTTGCTCCCCTGGATGCCTGTGGTCACCACCACCACGCCTTCTCTCCTTTGATCTCCCCTTTAAAAACCCCTGCGTGTAGCCTTTCGGGGAGTTTGGGATTACAGCATGAGCTGCCCGTTCTCCTTGCTCAGTGCTTTGCAATAAAATTCCTCCTCTCTTCCCCTACACCTGGTGTCAGAGATTGGCTTGCTGTACGACAGGTGAGTGAACTCACTTCAGGTTCAATATCAGTTTCAAATCCTGATTCCACCAATTTACGAGCTATGTGACCTTGGACAATGACTAACCTTCCTCCTGGGCCTCCGTTTCCTTGGTTATGAATGGAGGAATAAAACCTGTCTCACAAAGTAAAGCACCCAGTCCACTGCCTGGTGTGGGGCAGACACCCATTAAGTCTGAGCCAACAAGCTCAACTGCCCAGAGGCCAGGCAGGTGACACGCTGGCCAGAGTACAGAAGGAGGAACACTTTACGTTCAGCCAGGCACTAAACCACATGTTTAGTTCAGGGCGCTAAACAACAGAGTAAGGGGCTTCTGACAATAATGAGCTCTCTTTTTAAAAATTTAAGGAAAAGCTAGACAGATGTTCATTAATCTGGGATGTTGGAGAGGGGATTCCTGCTTTTGGTCTTAGGAGGAGTCACATTATGGTATGTAGCAGCACTGTCTCGTCACTCATTTGTACTTTTTTTTTGTGGGAGGAGATCAGCCCTGTGCTAACATCTGCCAATCCTCCTCCTTTTTTTTTTTTTTTTTTAGACTTGTGACTGGCTTATCTCTCTCAGCATGTTGTGATCAGGTCCATCCATGTTGTAGCAGGTGTT